GTTCCTTTGAAGCTGGAATGATCACCTGGCCTCTGTCTGCTCTTCCCTAGTCCTGCTTTGAGATGGGAATGAGAGGAGAGAGAGCTCAGGATTCCAGACCCATATGGACACCGGCCCCAAAATTACCAGTTTTCAAACATGGGCTTGTGTCCTTGGTAATAAAGGAACAAAATCTGGGGTCAAAATTCCTCCTAGCAGGGGCTCTTGGTCTCAATTGCTTTAGTTACTCAGCTATGAAATAGATGCGGCCGTAGCACCCCAAGGACTGGACACCTCGGAAGAGCAGAGTAGAACGGTGTGATGGCCTGGGTGGAGGTGTCCTGGGCCTGAAGCCCAGCTCTGCTACTCACTAACTAGTTTCCCCGTGTGTAATATGGATGTGATATTAACAGCACCTGCCTCCTGAGAGTGCTGAGCAGATTGTTCGAGACAATCCATGCAGAGCACCTCACATAATGAGTGCTCATTTAAACACTAGTAATTACTCGTGGTACTGAGGACCAAAGAGAGCCCTGTGGCTGCTTGAGCCACCTCCAGAGGAGGCTGCCTCTGTTCCTCCAAGAACATTGGTCATGTCCAGTTCATGACTTGGGTCCCCTCTGCAGAGGGGACTCTGGCCAGAAGGTTAAGCCACAGGCCCAGTGTCACTTCTAGGTGGCTATGCCAGGAAATAAGGAAAAAGAGGAGCTAAAGATATGCAGAAGTCAAAGAGCTGGGAGAAGGGGGTTCTGGAAACAGGATCTGTCTTTCCATGCCTCTCCCAAGGATCCCATTATTAGGAAGCACATGTATCCTGAGCATCCAGGCCAGTTTAGGATTTTCACATCCATTTCATTTCTCCCCAAGGTCCTGAGACAGACATCATTGTACCCATTTTGCTGATAGGGATATGGAAGTTTAGAGGACGGAAAGAATCTGCCCAGGGTCACACAGTGAATCAGTGGTAGAGGAAGTACTGGAACTCCAGTTGTCTGACTTGTAAGTCAGGGTTCTCAGCACCTGCCCAGCCCTCCCCAAGCTTCTGTCCCCTTCCTCCCTCCCCTATGGGTCCTCTCCTACCTTGAGGCTGACATCGCTGGTGCTGCCCTGGCCCTGGGCCAGGTCAGGGCAGCTCTGGCCACCCCAGGGCCTAGGAAGGAAGCATAGGGGAAAGGAATGGAACAGCCTCTCCCGTCCCAACACCATCACCTCTGGCCTGGGACCAGCCCTCTTCCCCACCATCTCTCAGAGCCCACAAACTGCTAGGATGAGCCCTCAAACGTCCCAACCTCCCTGGCTCTCTCCCCCAGAGGCAGAGAAAGGGATAGCTTGGGCTGGGATCAAAATGAAGCTTGGGCCTGTGTCAGGGCCAGGATGAAGAGAGAGATCAGAGCCCAGATGACCCCAAAGCTCCACCTTTGCTGAGGTCCTTGTGTGCCAGGCTGGGCTCTAGGTTTTGTGTCTGCATAATCACCTTTGAGCCTCACAATAATCCTAACAGGTGGATGCTTAGGTGGTGCTCTCATTTTTCAGACAAGGAAATTGGGACCCAGAAAGGCAAAGTGACTTGCTTGGAGCCACACACCTAGTCTGATGTGGAGTTAGGCCACCAGGTTTATCCCACTCCCAGTGTTGGTTGGACATTACCACACGAAGGGGGACAATATGGGGAAGTCCTTTTGTCCTTCCAGACCCCCTCTCCAGGTAATCTGCAGGATCAGAGGCTTGAGCCTCAGTTCAGGGTCCCATTCTCATGGCTGAGAAGAACTGATATAAGTGTACACGTGGCATGTGTCATCACGCTGGCCCTGCAGCCCATCCCCTGCCCTGCTCAGTCTTGACTCACCTGCATCCCAAGCCAGCCTCCTCTCCATGGGGAGAAGCAGAGGGAGGCCTGCCCGAGACTATAGGGCAGGTTTCTGCCAGAGAGAGTAAAGGGGGAGGGTGTGTCTTCCAGGTGGGCAGGGCAGTAGCCAGGTGTGGGCACCTCAGGGCACTCAGGCTTCCAGGCATAGGGTGGCTGGGCCCGCCTCTCCTCTCTAGGGTGAGAGTGCAGTACAAGCCCCTCCCCTTATTCTGCCCCACCACGCCCTTACCCCTCCTGGGGCAGGCCAGAGACAGCTGTGTCATGATAAGATCAGAACAAATTGCCGGGTAACTGCATAGACACACAAACACCCTGTGCCTGACAGCACACCCTAGGCTCCTCGCGGATGTGGACCTGTAAGCTACTAGGGCTCTCTTGGATTTCCAGTATTGGCCCAGCCATTGCGCTCAGCAATGGTGTTTTCCTTCCACTGAGACAGCTACCACGAATGGGCTCAGAGAGGTGAATAGACTTGCTCAAAGTCACCTGGCCAGTGACACCCAGAGTTTGGAGGCTGGGCCCCCTGGTGCCAATCCGGCAGTCTCTGCAACACCAGAGCTTCAGGACAGATTTGAGCTCTAGAGTCTGGCTGCTGAAGTATGTATCCCAGCTCCACCACTTCCCAACTGTGTGACTTTAGGCAAGTGACTTCACCTCTCTGACCCTCCATTTCCGGATTCGAATCACAGGGAATGTCTGCTTTATAGACCTGCCGTGAGGATTACACTGAGCAATCCAGGTAAAGTATGAAGCAAGTGACGGATAAAGGTTTATTGTTACTACAATCTAAAGCTATCTCCAGGTGCAAGAATAACAGGGGAAAACCTGTTGGAGTGTCTAAGGGCAAATGCCACAAACCTGTCAAAACTCATGACAAAGAAACTCAAAGAACAGGAACATTGGCCAGTGATGTGAGAATCAAAATCCACAGCGGTAGGAGGAACTGAACATTTGCCTTTAAACTATCTCTGGGGAGGAAATCCTGTGCAGGTGCCCACCTGGCTTAGGAAATTGTCAGTCGTTTTAAGGTTTTAAAGGAGTCCAGGGCTGGGGCTGGGATTGTAGCTCAGTGGTGGAGCATTTGCCTGGCATGTGTGAGGCACTGGATTCAACTCTCAGCACCACATATTAAAAAAAAAAAAAAAAAAAAAAACAGGGATGTTCCACATTCACAGATCCCCAACTGTGGCTCATCCACACATATGTTTGTATGCTCTGAGACGTTCATACACGCTTATATGAACACTCATTACACACACACACACACACACACACACACACACACCTGCCTGGGGTGCCCCGGCAGGACTTTCTCCATCTTCCCTCACCTATCCTGGGACCGGGCCTCCTCTGAGGTCTCCTTCCCCCTGCGCTCCCTTCGGACCCCTAGTCCAACCAGCAGGCGGGCCAAGTGGGCTCCCAGGCCCCCGCGCCGCTCGGTCATGGCGGGGCCAAGCCGGGGAACTGGACCGTGGGGCGCTTGGCAGCACCCGGATCCGCTGCCTGGGCGGAGAAAAGCCTCCGGCCCGCCCCCCTTAGCAAACAGCCTCCCGGCCCGCCCCGGGCGGGGACCTGACCGAGGTGCTGTCCATGCCCTGGGGCAGGGGGTGACCTCTGCCCAACCCCCGGGACTCTGGCTGTGCGCCACCCCACGCGCAGCCCCTGCTCTCTGCCGGGTCCGCACTGTTTCTTCAGGCCTCCGGAGGCGCCAGGGGCAGAGGCGGTGTGCGCATTGGAGGGGCTGGACCTGCACCAGGTGGGACAGGAAAGAGGAACCTGCGGTGAACAGGGGCCGGGAGGCGCGGCTGAGCAAGGGGCACCCCCAGGCGGGACCGGCGTGGGGCGGGGCGGGGCCGGGTCGGAAAGGGCGGGGCCTTGCCGAGTGGGCGGGGCCTAACCAGGGAGCTTGCGGGCCGGCTTAGGGCCAAGGGTGTGAGGAGGTGGCTTAGACCCCGGACTTGCTGTACTGGTGGGGCCGAAGCCCACCTGCCGTGGCCCCTCCGTGGTGGGTACCCTGCGAAAGCACTCTCCCTTTCGGTCCTGGAGCTGCCTGTGACACAGCGCGGACCTCCCTCCGCACCGCGGCGGGAAAGCCACTCGGAAACCCACGACTGGGGCCGCGACTGGCGCCCTCTGCCGGAAGTCGACCAGAGAACCCGTCTGTGAAAATTTGTCTTTAATAGTAGCCGTAGTTTATGGTGGCTATAAACTGGGCCTACTGCCTCCTAGCCTGTGCCCTTCCACACCTGACCCTGCCTGTCTGACTCACAAGGTGAGGAACACCTTGCACAGTTGACAGGATCCCCGGGGACCGCAGGGGAGAAAGGTTATCAAGAGGGCCCCAATTCCCCAGGCTCTCTTTGATGGTTCTTCTGGCCTGCAGCCCTACCCCGCGTCCACTCCTTCCCTGAACTCGCCTCTGGCTTTGCCTTTGCCCTCTGTGGTGACTGGTCCTGGTACATAGGGGACATCAAGTTTTGGGTCATGAGTGGATAGTGATGCCAAGCTTGGTGGTGCACGCCTGTAATCTCAGAAGCTCAGGAGAGGCAAGAGAATTGGGAGTTCAAAGCCAGCCTCAGCAATTTAATGAGGCCCTAAACTACTCAGAGAGGCTTTGTCTCTAAATAAAATACAAAATAGGGCTAGGGATGTGGCTCAGTGGTTAAGCGTCCCTGAATTCGATTCCCAGTGCCACTCCACCCCATGTCCGCCCTCCCCAAAAAGGTGGACAGTGATATCTTGGAGGAACAGGGAGTGCCAACTGAGAGAGCATGGGGGTTGAGTAGAGCTGTGAGATTGAAAGGTGGTTGGAAGCAGCAAAGGAACATCTGGGCAGGTGTTGGAAATGCTGTTTGGAAAGGATGGCAAAGTGCCCAGTGCCCCTTGCTGGGCAGGCAGCATGGTCTGCACCTGGCAGAGTCCTGGAGGGCTGGACTGTCCATCGGTGAGTTGAGATGGAGGGCTTGGTTCCATCTAGGTCATAGACCACGAATGGAACCAAACCTAGCCCAAGGTAGATGGCTTCAGGAACCCAGCCTCTTTGCAGTTGTGTCCCCTGACCTGCTCCCAGGTGAGATGTGAGATGTAAGATCTGGTGAATACATGGCGACTTCCCCCGCCACTGGAGAAATTCAGGAGGCCCCAACTCGTCACTGAGAAAATCCTTTAATTGCTTTGCCCCTGCCTATTTCCCAGGGCCATCCTGGTGCCACCACTCAGGCTGGCTACCCTGGCTTTCCCTGGGATGCTGAGGACACCTTGACTTTGTCCATGTCTCAGGCCATTTGTCTGCTTCTATGATGGCACCATTACAAGATCTAGTGCTCCCTGGTGCCAATGGGCAAGGCAGGAGGAGAGAGAGGCCAGGGGCAAGTGGGTGTGAGAGAGGTCGCAGGGCTGGGGCTTGTGTAGCCGATGGTGCAGCTTCAGATGAATGTGCTGGGCAGAGCGACTTGGGCAGACACTGCATTGGAAAGGCGGGGCTCTGGAGTGCAAGCGCAGGTGGGTCTTGAGGTTGCTGGAACTGCTGAAGCGCTTGTGGCACATCTGATGGGAATGGCACTGGCATCAGCCCTGGCCTTGGGCTGGCTCAGGATCTCTCTCCTCCTCCCCATCTTGAAAACACCCCTTTCTACCTGCCTCCCTGTCGATGCAGGGTTGGAAGACTTCCCTGGTGATTTCTCCCTGGAACCCACAGTATCTGGCACATTAGAGCCAGGCAGAAGGGGGTTGGTGTTCTTCTTTACTTCCTGTGACTCCTCTCTAGCCTTCCTCTCGTTATTGGTAACATATGACTAGTAACTCCTAACCTCATAGTTAGGGGAGCTTGAATGAGTTAATCATATAGACCCTGTGTGTGAGGCTGCAGCGTCAGTGGATGTAATTAACATTTACTGGGGGCTGAACATGCCAGAAATTGGTCTCACAGAGTCTTCTGGAGGAGTGTAGTTACACTTCTAGGGAAGTGTAACTAGGTACTAACACAACTAATGAGAAAGCAAAGGTTCAGAAGACTGAAGCCCCTATTCAAAAGTCACACAGCAAATTGGAGGAGGAGCTAGGATTTGAACATAAGTAATCTGATTCTGTAGCCTAGACTCATAGGCTCATCTCCACCCCTGTAAAAGGAGGAGAGAATTCCTGCTCTCTGACCTCGAAAGGGATGGGGTCACACTTAAAGGAGGGACCTACATTGATCAACAACCCTGGGAAGTGGGTAACAGGATGCATTCTCCAGGACCCAAACTTGACTTTTCTCCCTTCACAGACATACATCTCAACTCCCTCCTCCAATTTCAATCATTCCAAGATGACAGGGCTCAGACTATCCTGCCTTAGCTCCCTTCCCTAGTCCCAATGCCCCACTTCCTTTCTTGTCTCTTTTTTTTTTTTTCAGGGGGACTGAAGAATGGAGGCCCAGCTGCCACCCTCCAGGGCCTAGCATTGCTCACCAGGCTACAGGAGTACGGGGGAGGGGAAGAGGGTCTCACCACACACTCATGGGGGCGCTCCCCAGTATGCACCAGGTAGTGCTTCTGCAGGTGGGCGAGCTGAGTGAAGCTCTTCTGGCACAGGACACACTGGAATGGACGCTCCCCGGTGTGCACACGCAGGTGGACCTGAGCCAGGGGTGGGATGATGCTGCCCAGAGCCCCCAGCATGACCTGGGGTCCTCTCCAGACCTCTTCCCACATCCCCACAGGACCCCTTGTTGGCATCCAGGCCTCTCCATCCCCTTGCCTCCCCATCACCTCCCTCAGAGCCTGTCAGTCACTCCCAGATATTCCCACTGCCCTGCATGGGAGATGGCAGGGAAAAGGAGGTCAAGTAAAGAGTAGCCCAGGTGTCCTGGAGCTCTGCTGCTCAGGGATGATCCACAGACCAGTGGCATCAGTATTGCCTTGGGAGCATGTAAAATGCAGATTCCCAGCTCCTCCCTCCACCAGCCGTGCTGAGTCAAAATCTCAAAATCTGCGGGCCTGGGAATCCACAGGCTTACCAGCTCTCCAGGTGAATTGAGGCTGGTTAAAGTTTAAGAACTCCTGCCCTAGAGGATCCAGCAGGGCTGTTCCCCAATAACCACTACTTTCCTCAACTCCAGTGGATGCCACTCTGGGTTTTTTAACAGAGATAGGGCCATGTGCGCCCCCTGCTGGAAGGTACAGATAATGAGCACCCTCTTGAAAAATGTTGACTGTCAGGTCTGTGGTATACACTCACCCAAATCTACCCATCCCTCATCTGACCTTCAATAAATAAACAGTCTTAACTGGAATTCCAGAAAAAAATGGTTGTCCAGGAAAGGGCTTTGCACTAGGTGTTGAGAGACTGATATCAAAGCTAACCCCCGCATTGCGGTTCAGTAACTTTGGAAAACCCTGCTCACGGAGCCTCATTTTCCCTTGTTAACAGAGGCAGACTTCGAGGGCCAGCAGGACTGGGTCGACCATTTTATGCTGTGTCTCCACCTGGACAGATGAACAGTTCCAAGGTCACATGGACCTAGAGGCTGCCCAGGAGTGCCTTCCAGCTTTCAGGTCCTTGATTTTAGAACCCAGGAGATTTCTAGAATCCTCCCTGAGAGACATTAAGGGGAGGTTAAGGGGCATGGGAGGGTTGAAGGGGCAGCAGAGCCCAGGAGGCAGATACCTTGAGGTTGGAGAGCTGCCCGAAGCTCTTGCCGCACACATTACACTCATACAGGATTTTGCCGTTCTCTTTCTTCAGCGGGTAGGACAGCCCTGTGGTGCCTTCCCTGGAGCCCAGAGGGGTCTGCTTTGCTGGAGCTGCCACACCAGCACTCCCCATCCCCAGGGAGGAGGTTTGGGCAGCTCCTGGGTCTCGATCCTTAGCCTGGGAGGGCAGGGTTTGGCCAGAGGCTTGGAGGGCCCCAGGGTACAGAAGCAAGGTCTCCCGCTGGGGACTGTAGATCCCAGGATCATTGACTGTCCTCAGCAAGCAGGATGCAGCCACCGTGGAGTAGGACGTGTCTTGGGGCAACATGAAGAGATGGGGACATTGGACAGAAGGTAGGGCCCCGTAGGTGAACAGGTAAGGTGGAGGCAGGAGCAGAGGGTACCCAGGATAGAAGGGGTGGAGGCTGAGTAGGAGCTCCTTGGAGATGGGGGTGAGAGGAGGGCAGGGGCAGAAAACTGAGGGGTCAGGACTCATTCCATTCAGCCAGAGGGTCAGGGAGGAGCTGTTGTGAGGAGGGAAGAATGGCCCCTGGCCAGCTCTTTCTGGCTGGTTGTCCATCTCGTTCCTGCTCAGGTGGTACTTGGCTGCAAGTTTCTCATCATCGGTGGAGATGGCATGCAGCCCCAGTGGCGGGTGCCCTGAGCAGAAAAGAGAAGACTGTGAAGCCCCACAGCCTGGAGTAAAGTCTGTCCCACATCAGACCTGCCCAGTCCAGGGCTGGAAAAGAACTCCGGCCTGTAAGCTGGGTGGAGCCCCCTGGGCAAGGCACCTCTCCCTTCCCCAGCTATTGCACTTGCCAATGAAAGCTGCTCGCATTCCTGTTGACAATTTCAGGGAGAGAAAACAGTTCAAGAAGCCTGACAGATATCCAGGGTAAGAAGTCAAGTGCGCAGTTGGATCATTTGGTTTGTGGTTGAAAGGAGAGGGCCTAGCTGGAGACAGAACTTGGGATGCCAGGGGCTCAGATGAGATCACATAGGGTAATGCCACATCTGTGTCCAAAGTGGCAGCTGCTGGACCCATGGGATTAAATTGACATTAAAATAAAATTTAATAAAATATTCAGTTCTTCACTTGTACTGGCCACACTTATTTTTATTTTATTATATTAATTAATTTTGTAAATAAATAAATTAACTGGAACTTGAACCCAGGGGTGCTTTGCCACTAAGCCACATCCCCAGCTCCCCCCGCCCTTTTGTTTTTAAATTTCAAGAGAGAGACTCATTAAATTTCTTAGGATCTTGCTAATTTGCTGAGGCTGGCCTCAAATTTGCAATCCTCCTGCCTCAGCCTCCCAAGTCACTGGGATTACCGGCATGTGCCACTGTGCCTGGCTGTATTAGTCACACTTAAATTGCACAGTGGGTTATACTATTGAGTGGCATAGACATAGACTAGGCCCGCTGTCATGAGGAGTCCTATCAAAAAGTGCTATTCTACATGAGAACAGGAGAGGGAAAGAGAGGAAAGAGAGGATGGGGGAAAGAAGATGGGAGGAGAGGATGGGGAAGACAAGAGAAGAGGAGATGAAAGGAAGAGGAGAGGAGAGAAGGGGGAGGACTCTAGATATGAAAATATTTAGGAGGTAAGTAGAACAGCTAGCAAGGGAAACCGAGATACAATAGGTTAAGAAAAAGGCACAGAGGGATAAAAAATAAAATGTTTGGGCGGTAGGTAGAGCTCAGTGGTCGAGCGCTTGCTGAGGCCCTGGATTTCCCCAGTATGGAAAAGAAAAGAGTAAAAGACTAAAAAGAAAAGAGTAGTTAAAAGTGGATTCTCCAGTTGGATCCTCACTTATTCACTCAGTGGACTTGGCTGTGCTGTCTGTCTCTGCTTTGTGCTGGGATCCCAGAAATAAAGGACACAGAAGGAGAGTCCTTGCCCTCTGGGAGGTCTTAGTCACATAAGGAAAGGAGGTATTATCACAAACCGAGAATGTAGGCAAAAATGAGATCAGCTTTTATGAATGAAGAAACAGGCCTCAGGGATGTTCACAAAGCCACAGAACTAGAAAGGGCAGAAACAGGACCCTAAGCCCCGTCTCCCAGCCCAGGGTTCTTATCTTATAATTGACTCCTCTAGTTCAAACTCTAGGCAGACAAAGCTCTTCCCCCATGACTTCAGCGACACCAGCTCAGTACACCCCTCTGGCTCAGGTATCACCACCTGGGAAGTCCCTGCAGCTGCAGTCAGACCCACAGGCCCAAACCTGGAAGTGTGCCTGAGGCTCTGTCCTTACCAGTGACCAGAGTCCCCTCCCCTCCCTTGCCCCACCCAACCATCCCCCAAGGTGTAGCCGAGCGGAGCCACTGACTCACTCTGGCTCCAGGAGTCCTCTAAGACCCTGAGGGGCTGTGCCTAGGGATGCTGTCTGCAGGGCACACAGATACAGGCCCTGGTGGCAGGCCAGCAGGGCAGATCCAGCTGGTGCCAGCCGCAAGGGACACATCCAGCTGGCAGAGGACAGGCCTCAAGCATCCACTGTGCCTAGAAGTGGCCCGAAGTTCAAGAAGACCTGGAGGGCAAGGGGCTCTGAGACTGGTGGCTGGGACTTGGGGGTCTCTTGGGTGGTCCCACCTCTAGTTTGGTTTCTGAAGAAGCTAAGACCTGCCACCCCACATTTCTGTCATTCAAATTGTACCCCTTTCTTCATCCAAAGGACTTTCTCACCCCCTGCAAGACTGTCCTCCCCTCCCCCACCACCCATCTGTTCTCCCTCCCCGCCCCCTTTACCTGACCACCCTGGTCCCTGGTGTATTTCAGATCATCTACTCTTTGTTTTAAATGGAACCAAGGTGAACTTGGGGAAAATTCTCATCCAAGACTGTAAGCACTACAGTATGGCCCTGAGCCCTCTCCCACTAAAACCCAAGGCCATGGTCATACCAGCCAAGCCTTCTGCATAAACTTTCTCCTTTTTATTGCCACAGGAGAGTCTGGGTCCCTATGGCATGGACACAGGGTCTTGAAACTTCAAGGGCATATCCCCATGATGTGCCTAGAAGAGGGGGACACTCAGGACCAAGGAGGCATTCAGACACCTCCACTTCTTCCTAATGTCACCTCCTTTCATCAGCAGACTGTCCTCAAAGAGAAGGCTGGGACCCCATCCTACCTGATGGCCTTGGCAGAGCTAAAAGTCAGCCAGGAGACTGGGAACTCCCTTTCCCGGCAGGGTCCTGGTCTTGTGGCAACAACCCAGTTGTGCAGCTGATTTTCCCCTCATGCCCCACCCCCCCTACCTACTGGGAAGACAGGTGAGTCAAGGTGAGCCAGAAAGGTACTCCAGGAAGATGCCTGGGTTCTAGGACTGGCTCTTCCTCCAACATGCCTTGTGACCATGAGCAGATCACTTTCCCTCCTGGTCTCAGTTTCCCTATCTTCAAAATGGAGCATTGGCCTGGTTGATGTGTAAGGGTTGGTGCCGACATTTAGAAGCCAGTGATGCTCTCCTGGTAGGTGCAGAAATGGCATTAAGTGCAGACTAACCAATGAGAAGTGAGAAGCAGAGGTGGCTTGAGAAAAGAGAGGGAGATCCTCATGGAGGTTCCTAGGGAACGTTTGGATTCCTCAGGGCCACGGAGAATGGAGGCACCACCTCTTTCCATGGAGAAAGGGCAGGGCTGGGGATGCAGCTCAGTTGGTAGAGTGCTTGCCTCACACGCACAGGCCCTGGGTTCAATCCCCACAAAAAGGGGGGTCCCCTCCATCCAATTTCACCCAGATGGCTTTCCTGGGCAGCTGCGGAAACCTCAGGGTCCTGTCACCCAAACTGCAGTGGGCAGATCCCTTAGCAGACAGGAAACCTGAGAGAGGGAGTCCAGGTCCTCAGGAACCCCTGGCCGCCTGACAGGAAGAGGCCCTATGCACAGCCAGGGCCTCTTCAAGGCCAGAGCTCCCCTCGAAGGCCCCCAAGACTGCTTCCTCTCGGTGACCATCCTCCCCTTCAAGTCCAAATGCCTCTCAGACCCTAAAGCCCTCCCTCCAGTATCTCAGCCCTCCAAAATCCCCTTTCCTTTGCCTCTTTCCCGACTCCTCCCCAACCTGCCTCAGGTTTCAAAACAGGTACAAATACCTGGCCAGGCAGCCATCCTCTCGGGCTGGGGAGGGAAGAGGTGGGCAGGCAGGCTGCTGCCGTGGCTGAGGCCCCAGCAGGTGTGAGAGAAGACAGGAAGATGCTACATTTGAAGTTGCCTCAAAGAGGAAGAGGGGGGCAGGCAGGCCTGGGGGCCTGGGAGACCTAATAAGGGGGATCCTCCCCAAGCTGTACCTCCCAGTGGTGACTCTACAGGATGACTCCGTGGGATTTGGAAGGCAGCGAATTGAGCTACTGGCATTTCAGTGTGAGCGTGTAGTGGGTGCTAGAGGTGCTAGCTCTGTTCTCAGAGAAACTGGATGGCTGAGAAGAAGGACAGACCAGGGCTCAAAGGCAGAAGTTGGGGTCCTTCTGGAGATGAAGGCCAAGCTGAGACAGGAGCAGGCAGTGATGACCACAAGGGAAGGTAGTGATGGTGACAGAGCAGGGTCAGGAACAGGCAGAGACAAGAATAGGCAACATAGAAGGATACAGGCTGAGATGGAGAATGAGGCAGGCAATGAGCTCACAGAAAAGAGGCCCAGGACACAACAACCACATCTTCCCACACCAAACACATTGTCCCCCTGCCAAAAATAAATAAATAAATAAAATGTCCCATCTCATCCTGGGAAATTCTACTCTCAAATCCAGATAGAAAACTGAGGCCCCAAGAGGGCAAGAGATAATTCAAGGACACAGCAAAATGGGTATAAGACACACCAGGCTTGAGGATTTACACCTATAACCCCAGCAACCTGGGAGACTGAGGCAGGAGGATCTTAAGTTCAAGGCTGGCCTTGGCAACTTGGGCTAGGGATGTATTCAGTGGTAAGAGCACCTCTGGGGTGACACACACACACACACACACACACACACACACACGAATACACACACATAAATCAGGCCAGGAAGTAGCTATATAGATCCATAATTTCATTAATCTTGTGAGCATGAGAAGGTATGTCACACACCTTGAGCATCACCCAAGTTCCAAGTCTGGCCCAAATTGACAGTCCCAACAAGTCCCATCAAACTGCACCTCAGCTGTGCCACACAGGTGGCCTGGAACAGGGATAGTTCAGACTCTGCCATGGTCAAGGGGCACATGGTTCTCTGCCAACTCAGCCCTAGGGCTTGTACTCACCTCCACCATGGCCTCTGTCACTGTCACGGTCATTTGCCCACAAACTGACCCCTGTGTGCCTGTGAACATCTCAAGGACAGGAACCATTATCGCCTCATTTTTGTTTCCTGTGTAGACTTTGCCAGGATTTTTTGGATAAACAGTCTGGACCTTCCCTGCAACAGGAGTCTTCAGGGAGACAGAAGGAACCTCCCACTGTAAAAGCCACAATGGCCAGATGCCTAATTGCAACCCTCTCCCCCAGCACATAATGCAGGCACACAGGGTGTGTGCACACAGGGTGTGTGCACCACCCATATTGTGGATCAAAAGCCACTGGCCCTTAGGTGCCAGGTAAGGGGAGACTCCACTTCCAGACTTCCAGGGAACATTTGTTTTTCAGGGCAGAGGAGAAAGAAGGGAGTTCAGAGGAGCTGCCAAGCCCTGCTGGGCTGGTCCTGGGCTGGGGTCCGGGCTGCTCCCATCCTCCCTTGATCCATCCAGCTCCAAAACCCAAGCTCTCCAGCCTTCCCAGAACTTCTCCAGAATCTTAAAAATGAATCCCTTTTCTGCTTAAATCCTCTGGAAAAGGCTTTTATGCTTACAACCAAAAACACCACATCCTATATGCCTAAAATGGAGGATGAAGAAACTTGGTGCAGGCTAGAATACCCCAAGGATCACAGATGTAAAGGTGGCAACCTTTACAAGCAGTTTACTTACTATGTGCCTGGCACTGTGCTAAGGGCTTCAGAAGCTTTATCTCATTTAATCTTCATGATAAGCCTGTGTGATTGGTTTTATCATTCCCACGATCAACAGAAAACTCAGAGAGAGTAAGGAAGTCACCCAGAGTCACACAGCAAGCAGCCAAGAACTCTAGTGCCAAACCTCAGACTCTACCTTTCTTGGTAATGCCAGCTCCCTCCACTACCACACCCACCCCATCCCTTCTGAGCTTCATACTCCCTCTTCTGACTTGCAGTTGCTGTGCCTAGGCAGCCCCCTCTGGTCTTTCCCACCCCAACTCCTCAGCCCTCTTGCTATCCTTCCAATTACTAATCTGACAGTCCTGCATGCAGTCTGGGCTCACCAAAACTCCATGCCCCAAAGCTAGAGGCCTCCACTACAGCCTTGCTGGAGATCACAGGGGAGTAAGGGCCCACCTGTGTACTGAAGAAGACCCCACCCACATGGCCAAGAAGACCTACACACACCTTTGATTTCCATCTGCCAGTTCCACCTGAGCCTGGCATCACAGTCTGCCCCCAACTCTCACCAAAGTCGGTGTAGCCTGTTGGTCTCCAATCCTGAGTCCCCTGGCGTGGTAAGAAGTGTCCTGGAGTGGGACAGTCTCTGAGGTTCCCACTCAAAAAGAGCCTCTGACCTACCAAGCCCAATTTTGTTTCCATCTCCAGATCCCTGCCTGATCCTCCATCTCTTTGGCCTCCAGGCCCTGTGAGGTCACAGGCCTAACTGTAATGTCACCTTGTCCAGGAAGAAGCACAGGGGTAGGACTGTGACCTTCTAACCCAGGAGACTGACCAGATGCCTTGATCCAGATGAAAGACTCAGGCCTGAAATGACCTCAGTGACCCGAGGGGGATTGGGGGTGCTGGTGGAAGGGAGGGAGAGTGAGCCAGGGCCGGAGGGTGTGGGGCCCCGGGCTTCCTGGTGCTCACTACCCATTGACTTTTTTCTTTCTTCTGTTAATTACAAAAGGATACACACTCGCAGGGAACTTTTCACAACAAAGAATATGCAAGCAAAAAAGTAGAAGCTCTGGCTGCTCCACACTTAGCAGTGGTCAGTGTGTGCTGTTCAGTGTTTATCCTTCCAGACATTTTTTTCTGTGAATCAACAAACAGGTAAATGGATTTGTGTGTGTGTGTGTGTGTGTGTGTGTGTGTGTGTCTGCCCACACACAGTACTGTGATTAAACCCAACACCTCACACGTGCTAGGCAATTGCTCTACCCCTGAGCTACACTCTCAGCTCTTTTTTTATTTTTTATTTTGAGACAGGGTCTCACTAAATGGCCTAGGCTGGCCTAAAATTTGTAATCCTCCTGTCTCAGCCTCTCAAGTAGCTGGGATTAAAGGTATGTACCACCATGCTCCACAGGTAGATGGATTTTTAAAGTTTTGTTTTTATACAAACATGGGGTTATATAACATATATTATTCTGCTGCTTTTTCTATCCAATAATGGCCACCATTCATGTTGGGCACATACATATTTACCTCCTGCTTTTTTCTTGTCTGTGTGGTATTCCACAGCAAGGACATACAGGCTCTGTGGCAATTCCGCTGTGATCAGAAGTGGACTCCCATTTTTCTCTTTTCCACACAAGCCTGGACATGACCTCCCTACCGAGTCCATGTGCACAGTGGTTGATAATATTAGCTCTTTTTTTATTTTTTTTTTATAAATATTTTTAGCTGTACATGGACATGATATCTTTATTTTTTATTATTTAATGTGGTGCTGAGAATCAAACCCAGTGCCCACACATGCTAGGCAAGTGCTCTACCACTGAGCCACAACGCCAGTCCCAATATTAGCTCTTTAGACAGGCATCCCCGTGGTGGCGCATGCCTGTAATCCCAGCAGCTAAGAGGCTGAGGCACAAGGATCACGAATGATTTCAAAGCCAGCCTCAGCAAAAGTGAGTTGCTAAGCAACTCAGTGAGACCCTGTGTCTAAATAAAATACAAAATAGGGCTGGGGATGTGGCTCAGTGGTTGAGTGCCCCTGAGTTCAATCTCCAGTACCAAAAAAAAAAAAAAAAGAATATTAGCTTTGCTAGATTAATCCTAGCTGGGTGGCTTCAGCAAGTCACTTAACCTCTCTGGCTTCTTCCTTGTTTGTCAATATCTGCCTCACCAAGCCTTTACAGGATTCCTTGATTAATTAATGAAAAGCCCTTAGGATATTGCCTGGCCCAAAACAGGTACTCGATACAAGTGGGTAGCTTAGTATTTTATATCACTCTTTGCCTAATGATGCCAAATTCTGCAAGACATCCTCCTAAAAGTGTTAAATGGGGATGGGTATTCCAGGACCACTTTGGAAGATCAGAATTTGGGCAGCACTTGAGAAACATTCTGTTTTATTGCTTTATTCATTGACGCCTCTTTGGTTAGGGACCATCGCCCTCATGCAATGCCAGCCCCCCACCCTCCATCCTATGCAATACCATGATAATTGCTCCCGGCATTAGAACCATGTGCCAGCAATTGGGCAAAGAACTCGACCTGCTTTGCTTCATTCCACTAGCGCAGTGACCCTGAAGGCAAGAAAACTGATTCTTGAGTTGGGCACAGTGGCGCAAGCTGTAACCCCACTGACTGGGGAGGCTGAGGTAGGAAGATTGCAAGTTTGAGGCCAGCCTCAACAACTTATCAAGATCCTTAGCAACTTAGCAAGACCATGTCTCAAAAAAATAAATAGGACTGGGGATTGTGACTTAGTGACAGAAGTCCCCTGGGTTCAAATCCCAGTGCAAGAACAAAAAAAGAAAAAAAGAAAGAAAACTGATTCTCAGAGAAGAAGAGTAATTTGCTCAAGATCATAGGAGCCAAAACTAGAATACACAGAAAGAGAATAGAAAGGTGATTATAGGGCCAGAGGTGAAAGGAAGAAGGGGCGGTGGGGATCAAAGGGCATGAAGTTGCAGTTAGGTAGGATGATAATTCTAGAGATTAGTGGCCATCATGAAGACTATTGTTGAGAGTATTGTGGGGTATACTGGAAATTTGCTGAGAGTAGATTTGCACCACACACATATGAAAGGTAACTATGTGAAAGGATGGGTATGTTAATTGCTTCACTACAGTAATGCTTCACTGCACACACACACACACACACACACACACACACACACAAAGCATTTTGTTGTATGCTTTAAATATCTACTTTTTTTTTTTTAATCATAAGACCAAAGTTGAGGTTGCAGAGTTCCAAAGGAAAAGGAAGGAAGAGCTGCCGGCCCTAACCAGGCATGGTACGCAGCCTATGATCTCAGTGATTTAGGAAGCTGGGGCAGGAGGATTGCAAGTTCAAAGTCAGACTCAGCAACTTAGTGAGGCCCTAAGCAACTCAGTGAGACCCTGTCTCAAAATAAAAAAAATAAAATGGGCTGGGTGTGGAGCTCAGTGGTTCAAACCCTGGGTTCAATTCTCAATACCAGAAAGAAGGAAAAGAAGAAGAAGGGCTGGGGATGTGGCTCAAGAGGTAGCTCGCCTGGCATGCGTGTGGTCCGGGTTCGATCCTCAGCACCACATACCAACAAAGATGTTGTGTCTGCCAAAAACTAAAAAATAAATATTAAAAAAAGAAGAAGAAGAAGACGTCTTGCTGGATGTTGCTGAAATAGAAAGTGGTGCAAACAGGCCTCTCGCTATCAGGGCAGGGTCTGGGGAGCAGAGTAGGGGCCAGGTAGAGGCTTGCTAAGAGAGGGAGGCAATGGAACCGCAGCCAAAGCCCACTTCCTCCCTGAAAAACCTCAAAAACTTCAACCCATGACCACGGTTGCCTCCAGCCTTGAGGCCAGCGGCTAAATTCCAGACCAGATCAGCACAGGGCCCCAAGAACTTTGCCACATGGATACTTTTGAAAGGCACCAGGTAAAGGACTCTGGGTCAGAAGAGAGTCTAGGGCCACAGCCGGCTCAAAGTAAGATGGGACTCTGAGGACAGGGCTGAGGGTTGAGCTGAGGTGCTCTCCACTCCTGTGCTCTGTGGTTGACACCTCCCTCCCTCTGCCTGACACCCTCTTGCTTATCTCCGGACAGCCCAGCTGTCAGTCTGTCAGAAGTTTCCAGTAGGCCTCTTCACACACTGAGGGTGGAGAGATCTTGAGATAGGCAGTGCCAGCTCTCACTGTACCCACTGTGACCTTTCAGTCTTTCTATGGACAAAATTGCAGATATGACTTCAAGTGACATCTGAGAGCATTTTACCCAGCCTCTTAACCCAATCATTCCAAGAAGACAGAAGACAAGAAGAGGACACACTACAGGAATTCAAACCCAAGACAGCTAATATACTCTTCATCACTAGGCTTCACTGCCCGGATGTCCTTTCCAGTCTGGCATGAAACAGGAA